GTAACTTACAGAATGTAACTTACAGAAAGAAGTCTACTCTCCTTACTTTTTTCCACTGCTCTGGTTAAAATACCTAGACTGTGGTCCTGTGAGAAACCAAACACCTCCTGGGAACTGCAGAGCAAATTTAGAGCACTTAGCACTCCACCGAATCAGCTCCTAACTTAACAAGGCTAGGGAAAGAACTGATGGAGGTTATCAAACTAAAAAGTGATAATTGCAAAAAAATGGCAAAAAAATGTTCAAAAGCACAGTGAAAAAAAATTCTCCATCATGCAGAAGAAAAATATTTTTTTTTAATAAACAAAAACAAGATAGGTTTCTCTGTAACACTGCCTGCATTTTTTATTTATCTCCCCCCCAAAAAGTGAGTAGGCAAGTTTGTATTATATTCTTTAGAATATAAAGGAAGTTATTTTCACCCTTGGATAAAACCTTAAAACCTCTAAAGGCCTCACTCATTCAGAGATGGGAAATGGAAAGCCTCCCTATCATATATTTTGGAGACAATATCCTTTTTTCTGGAAATGCTGATAAGGAACAAATTCAAACTGGTCCTCATCCGCCTGGATCATCTTATTTATTAAAAACAATGGTATCTCTTAAACCCTGTATACTAAGCTATCGGTCAATTTTGATTGACACAAATATTTGTATTAAAGGTTACATACTGCAATTTACAATTGGGTACTATCACAATACTGTATGTTAATGTAATCAGTATTTTTCATTTCATGAATTCATTTGCAGCTTGACACTGCAAGGGTATTCTTACATATACTGAAGACACAATTGCAAAGTAGTTCAACAATTCTCCTTTAAGTGGGATTTTTTTTATCTGATAAATTTTTTAACACAATAAAACCACTCCTATTACTGTGTGCATGTTTTAATTTCCCACCTTTTAAAGTGTTTAGACACTTGGAATACCTAGCATACTGAATTAATCCACAAATATTTACAAGAAAAATCTATTTAATTTCTTTCTGTAGTAACTACCACAGGGACTATTGTAATGAAAAATTTCCCATCTTAAAGAATTAATGCGATTACTGATATAGAGAAAAAATGTAATTTATATCATCACAAACATGTAAAAGATATAATCCCATATTCACAAAAAGAATCTTTATTCCCTCTTTGAATTCTGAGACAATACAGTCTTGCCTTGAGGAGAACAGAAATATTATGAAGTACCTTAAGCAAGATAATTGTAAGAGAAAAAAACTACAATTGCATTATTGTTGTGCTAAACTGTGACATACTTAAAAAGCTAATTTCTTTTATTATAATGGAATTTGGTGTGCATATCCTTTAATTTACTTCACTATTTCTTTACATTTTTACACACAAACATATGTGTAAAGTGTTTCCCATTATCTGTACTACCTGGTTTAACAAACTGCAACAAATTTAAAACAATTAAAAACATACTTGGCAATTCCATAAACTTCGCCAGATTTTTTTTTTTTAACAGTTTTGGAACTGAGCACCCAGCATGTCACAAAAATACACAGCAAATTAAAGATCTATTGCAATTCAAGCATTATTCAAGACATGATCAATAATTTATGAAAAAGTAACATCTGACATGATTGACTGTCCCAAATTTTACCAAACACATTTCAACCAATCACAATGCTGAACAGTTTGCATCTAAATCAAAAGGCAAGCAAACAAGAATGTGTCCCCAAAATAGGGCTTTCTACAGATATGTCAGTTAAAGTGCTTTTACTTTTGAAATTCAGGCAATCTTCAATTATTCCTTTCAATTAAATAAATTTTAATCAAGAAATTAACCTGCTGTGGCTGGGCATTTCTCTGTCAAAAGGAAGGAAACATTTTTTCACTCGTTCTCCTTTAAAAGGCAAATTTAACAAAACTACTAAGACAAATAGAATGACCTAATTAGTACTAAGTAATATTTAAAGCTTTTATATATATAGTACATTCTTATTGCTACCCCTAACTTCCAAGGCTTTCTACTCCCTGATACTGTTTGATTTATCTGGCACTATTACTGCCTAAGTATGCAAATCCATATTGTCCATTCTTGTGTGCATCCAACATACACAGAAGGAATCAAACTGTAAAGAAAACTTTCTGTGAACCTTGATTAAGCTAACTTTTATGGCAGTGGCATCCTCAAAGGCAAAAAGGGTCACCCTTGGTCTTCAGTGGGCAGACCCACACAAAACTAGTCAAAGGCAATGAAGAAAGTGCCCTGGAACGAGCAAGAAACAGCGCTCAGAAGTGAGTTACAAGAATCTCTTACCCTTTTCTACTTAAGAGCCAGTCCCACTAGAAAACTTAAACCCTGAACAGATGCTCTCCCATGCCTCACCACTCAGATATGGTTAGCAATGAAAATATGTCTTGTATTTATTTCCTTGTAACTCTTAATCTCTGTTAAAGCACTGAATTATTAGTGTCATACTAATCAAGTTAATTTCAGTTATCTGAACAGATCTGACCAGCTAGTTACGAAAAAATAACCATCTAAATTAAACAGAGTAATACTGGGTTAAAAAATGTAGGTCATTGAAGAAACAAACCATCAACAAATATTGCCAGCTTTCTGTTCGTGAAGCAATTTCAGCATAAGCCTTTCTTTGCTCTGTTCAGACCCCAATTCCTATGTATCAAAGCCTTTAAGCACACACTGGCCTTAAGCACATGCTTAAAAAAGCTTTGCAGTGTTAGGACCTTCTGACTGGTACACAGGACACTCGGGACTGCTCACAATGTAATCCCCTGCAGTAAGCGAGCCGTCTTTTCCACTGTGACCTACTCACGAAATTTATGTCCCATACAAGAAGATTATGTACTAAAAATCAAATCACGTTGTGTCAATGTAATGATAACAACCAATATACATCACCCTGTAAACTATGAAGCCCCTATGCTCACAAAACACCAGTGAAATCACAAGTCATACCTATGAAAATAGCTACAATGCAATATACAAAAGAGACTTTAAACTAATACTTGTGAAACATCAGCCTTTCACATCTGTGCCACAAGTGGCCAATTCACATTACATAGCAATGGTCAACATGATTCCCACATACATAACTTTTTTCCCAATTAGAATAAACTAATAAAATCTCCTCTAAGTTGCCCTCATTAAGCATGAAAATGGTTGAAAGAGTTTAAGTCAGTTTTATTTTGTAAAGGAGGAAAATGTATCTATGAAAGAATTATATTTTTTTTTCAGAATCATATGTACTAATATGCTTTTTATCATCCAAAACTGAAAATTCCTTTAAATAAAAAGTTTTTAGTTAGTATCAGTGTTTTGGAGCCTCCCACTGGCAGCCATCACACAGCTGAAGCAAACTATCAGCTGAATGGAGGGTTTATATCCAGCATCAATGACTATTTTGCTTTAAAAGAAATTAGTATTTCTGAGTTCATATTTTAAATGCAATTTAAAAGATCATAAAGGAAAGAATCCAGCATTTATTGTGTGTCTCCCAGTAGACTACTTAATGTTCAAACATCTACTATGCAAAGGTCAAATGATTTCACTGAATGTAATGGTGACAAAAATATTCTGCAGCACTGAGTAAAAATATCAGATGATCAAGGAAAAAGATATGGACCTATGATCTTGCAAAAGTCACAATAAATAATATAGATTCAGTTCAGTAAGAAAGAAAATCACAAAGTTGTGTCAGGAGAAACAGATTAAGAAAGATAATAGGTAAAATACAAATTACACACTTTTGGCAATGTTCTTCATAAAGGAATATTTTAAAGTAATACAGTAAATGAATTTTTATTAAAAAAAAAAAAAAAAACAAAACACAACTCCGCATACAAATATTGCTTGCACAGAACTGGGAAAAAAATTGTATTCAGATGGGGAACCTCTGAGGTATTCTGATGGAAGCAGCAACATGGATAGCTGAACTCAAACAAAAATCCAGTGTAAATAGTTGTGGTAGCTGTAACATACACAGGGTAAAGCTGCAGTGAGCACTCATTCAGGAATGAGACAGATTACAGGTAAAACCAATATGAAAAAAATTTACTCAAATGCTTATCTGAAGCAAACAGCAAGAGCTAATAGGTACCAATTTATTTTCCATTTTATTGTGTTTTTCCTTCCTTGACATTTACATCGAATATTTCAGGTTCCCATTCTTTCTAACATAAAGAGGTTCCAAAGTGTGCCATGCACACTACTTGCTGGTGGTCCTCACTCTTCAAAGTCAAGATCTCATCAACAATTAAAAAGAGCTGGAAACAAAACCAGGAGTTGCCTATCTGCCTCTGTGATGTGCTGCAATGTAAGAAGAATTTGGTGGTCACCAACAGCACCTCATCTGGGAGATCCAGTGGATCTCTCCACATTGATGGATAGGAACATCGAGGGCAGGAGGCAGAAAGCAGCTGAGCAGAAACTGAGGCAAAAAAAAACAACAAGCAAGAGTAAAACATGTGTAGAGGGAAAAGAAAGCTAGAAAATTATATGGACAAATGAAAAAAAACCAAAAAAAACAGGACAAGGCAGCAAAGAAATAAGAGACGAGACAAGGGAACACAATATAGGGAGTAAGGTAACTAAGAGCAAAAGAGCAATGTGATATTCACTTTCTGGAAGAGAATACATCATTTCTCACATTAAAGAAAAGTGAAAGGGGGTTTTTAGTTTAGTTTTTCTTTTTTTACTTTTGTGTATAATAAACAAATGCACAAATCTTGACTGATCTTGTATTCTAACACCTTACATCAAAACCTGAATTTTGGTAACTTAGGCTGATGTATCAAAAAATCCAAAATCTCTGGTTAGATGTTTAAAAAAAATTATACGTATCCAATAAAATATCAAGTAAAGATAGAAAATAAGGTGCGAAATTGATCTTACATCTGAATGAGACTTCTGTTAGTGAGCTCACAAAAAAAAAAAAACAGTGAAGGTGCTACTAATTTTATATATTAATACAAAGATACATTATTTTGACTATTAAATTATGTTCAGGAAACATACATACGTTTTTTTCTGTGCTCAACCAGCCCAACAGCCTGCTTTGCTGAGCATTTTGAAAACCAGTTGTCCCCAAGCAGAACAGTAACCTCATTGGTGTGGACAAGTTTTCCTGGCATGAAGGCAAGAGGACCAAAAGGTACCTGTCAAAGGCACAGAAGAAACTGCTGAAAATCACTAATAAAAATAAAACCTAGACAGTTATTCAGGTCTTAGTTTTTTTTAAAAAAAAAAAAATACAGAGTTAAAGAAATAAAAATTTTACAGCTGTTATTTAATGACTAACTCTTCATAAATATTCAAATGACCACATCCATCTTACAAAATCAGAAAAGTGGTATTTAACTAGACAAGTTCTTTTTGTGACATAAAACTATAGTACAGTTGAATGCTCACATGGAAAACAAATTCACTTAATCCTAATGTGTAAGCCTTGATAATAAAAATATTATCACATAGGTGAGTCACGTATTTGTTATACACAGACTGCATTCATTTCATAATAAAAGCAAGTTTAATTTTGCTAAAATTTTAAAAATTTTTAAATAGGTATGGTCAACTCAAAGATTAGTTGCTTTTCTCAATATCTGTCTTGCTAATAGTAAGTACCTAGAAACCTCAGTGGAAGTTTGTGGGACTACTGGCAGGGTCACAGACCATGCTTAACTTCATTTTGATTCATCATTCACCAGTACGCAGACCTCAACCTTCCAGCGATGCTCCACCAAGCAACGCCCGTCCTCTACTGCCTCTCCTGACACACTAACAATACACAAAAACAGGATACTTCAGGCAGGAGTACACTGGTGATAAATACATTTTATAACCTAGAGGTGCTTCTTAGAATGGGTAACCCCCGCTTTAACACATATTACAAGGTACGGGTCATTGTTTTGATGAATTAAGACACCTTCCACAGCCCACACTTTACAAACAGTGCTTGGGCAAGTGCTACTGCTGCGGTGGCCGTGGCCACCCTCACTCCTGTCTCCTGCACCAGCCCCTCGCATTCTCGCCCTCAGACCTACAGCCACCTGCCTGGCTGCCTTTGGGCTCCAATTGACAAGAAATTAGGAGACCAAAATCAAAGTTAAAATGGAGGTGGCAAAAAGCCAAGAACCACATCCTCATCAAGTTTTCTCTTTCTTAGGGTAAAAAGAGATCTGTCTCGGCCAGTTTGTATCATTTCCTTCTATTTTATTCCTCTGCCGCCTTCTTAATTTCCTCAGGATAGCCACTTGCTTTCTCATCGCATTTGTGCTGAAGCGAAGCACTTGGACCAGTGGATCTGTTTCCTTGGAAAGCAATCTTCCCTAGCTTCAGTATCCAGGAGGGTACCAATGCTTGAAACTGTTTTCCAGCAGGCAGGATCCTGACGTTAAGACTATGCAGAATGTGTCTTTCCTACATGTGTACCCTTCCTGACTTGGTTTTCAAGTAGCAGACTGCACCATTTGCCTGTTCACTCTTCCCCCCCAAAATGATGAAAGCAAAATTGAAAACATATGAAAATATTTGGCTAACAGGATAGGAACTATTTATATACATTTAAAATAACAGATGTGAGTCGACGTTGCTGCTTTAACTAAGAATAAGCCCTATCTAGCTTTTTTAAAAACAGGGTTTTTTCTATGCTTCGAAACAACACAATTTTTTTGCTTTACATCCTGTGGCCACACATATACACATGGTAAATGGACTACACACATAAAATCCAGAGCTGAATCATGAGCAGAGCAAATGGAAACACTCTTTTCCCACATGGTAACTGTACTCCAATGCTGTCCTACTAACAACTCAACTCTATACGCTGAGCCAGGCTGCCAGGGAGGCACTTTGTGCTGAAATTAGCCGTTCAGTTATTTACAGTACAACTTCCCTCCCTTCAAAGATGTATCCTGAATTGGACTTGAGAAGGGAGGAGGCAAAGAAGAAAGAGAGAAAAGCCAATTTGATCAAAATTCTGGTGAGCACAAGCCAGCAGGGTAACGTTTACATAGGGAGCTGTGCAGTTGTTAGGGAAGATTCAGAGCACCAGAAAAGACCACTAAGTCAATGTGAAGATCGGTGGAACAAAAATTAGCAGCACCTTTTTATGTAAAAATCAATGTTCTAGGGTTTATTTCCATGAATCAGGAAATACTACAGCCACTTTCTTCTCAGGAAATGACTAAGTACCATAATTCAGTCATAATTATAGTTTTCTATACAATAGATTTACTTATCAAACATGTCAGATTTTGTGTTAGCTTTTATGTCATCAGTTCTCAGATTTAAGAAACACTGTAATTTATAATGGATTTTAAAGAAAAGAGAAAGAAGCAAAAGCAAAGGTTTAAGTATTATAATAATAAATGTAACATGACAAAGTACTACATGGCAACCTGAGTAACACCACACCAGCAGTGCCGACAGCCAAGTTATTAAAAATTTTAGCCCATTTTCTTGAATGAACTCTACAGCATACATACCATGATATCGTACGACAGTTTATCAGGCAACGTACAGAGTCGTTCTTGAAGAGCCTCATAGTCACTCTCCACCTTTTTCCTGTTGACAAATTCAAGTTGATTCAATTTCATGTCTAAAGTAAAGAGTTAATGTTTTTCTGCTAGTAATTCAACAACACACAAAAAAATATAGAAAAATTAACTATTTTACTCTTAAACCCATATGGTTGATAGATGAATAACTTGTTTATAAAAGACTTGGGATGACAAACATAATAGCTAGATTATTTTAGAATAATGTCTTAAAATAGGGACAATGATTTTAGCTTATGCATAGCTTTCTGAAATTTTTTATGGTGTAAAGAATCAGTTCTTTCACTATGATTTGGCATATCTCACTCCATGTTCAAGTTCAACAGTTATACCACCATCAATATTTTAAAAAATAACTGAAAATCCAGTTTATACTTCATAAGAGGCAAATTCTTCACAGTATCACTCGTAATAAGGAATTAATGATCTTGGTTTGAGCTGACATAAATGGGCAAAATTTTAATTATTTCTGATTTTCATGTGAACTTTGTGTTCCTACCAAGAGTCAACACTCCTGAAAGATGACTTGACCACCAGGATTCTGTCATATCTTCCAGCTCTGACAAGGCTTATGCTACTTCTCTATCCAAAAGGTAAATAAGGCTCATGCTACATGTTGCTACCCAAGGCAGAAATATCTTGGTGACAAATTATTCCCACAGTAGACATCTGGCTCTTCAGAGGACTTTGTGAGCATTTCAACTGCTGCAGGAATTTTCCTCTGTGTGCAAAACAAGCAACTACACTCCCCCTAAAAAAGTCTTATCTTGCGACAACATTCTTAACTTTGGCTGGAGAAAGTCTTTTAATGGACCACTGTCATTCTGAAGATGGTCTGAAATCAGCTCCTGCATGAAGTTGCTGGCATATAAACATCAGGTTTGATGATATTGTTTACTTGCACTTCAAAATAGTAAATATATATATGGTAGTAAATTCTGCATTAAAAGGCAACTCAAAGCATGGAGCAGCACACTGAACAACACCGACCCAAGATGCAAATTACAGGTTTTCTGAGGATGATTCAGAAAAGTAATCTATAAGTGTACTGAAAAATGAATGTCATAGTTGATAACACAACTCTCAAAATATTATCATTGATTTTCTTAGATTCATAACCAAAGCACAATCTTCTTCAGCATTCGTTATGAAAAATTATCTGATAGTCCTACGTTTTGTCTCATTTGCTTCCATAGTTGAACTTTGCTGTAATCACCTTACTTTATACCTGGAGTACTTCGTATTTTAAGTTGCTGAGTTGGTCCTGAAAAGAAAGAATGTAGGTTTTTATGCCACTTGGACATTAAAACTGTATTCCATACAACTGATTTACAAAAGATGCTTGCTGCTGCTTTGGTTTGACAGAAAATTTCTCCCAGATATTTTAGGCAAGTTTCTCTGTTCACTGCCCATATCAAAGTGAAAACATAATTCACTTCTTTCAAACAGAAAGGACAAATTTAATCTTAGCAAAATTGACTGAGATGTTTTGGGGGGGAAGCAATATAATGAAAACTTGTTGTCAACAATAACAATCAATTGCTAATGGTATCTACAGAATCCAGTCTTTGCCTCACAGAGATCTGCATTTGAGAAATGGACACTGATGCACTCCAACCATACCCAGCCCATGCCTCAAATGCAAAGAGGAGACTCCATGGGAAGAGAATGGTATGAGAATTTCCCTATTTGCAGCAGGATTAAACATTCCCATCACTTCACGGCTGAAAGTCATTCAACATTTCTTCATTAATCTGAAAAGAAGATACTGCCTTTAAGGTCTAACTGCTGCCTGTTACTGAATAACCTGATTAGGGTACAGGAGAAGTCACTTGCTACAAAAGCTGTTTTGCTTTACAGAGCAAAATACATTTCTTTTTTCAGTGGGACTACTGCCTTTTGCGCATCAAACCTCCACCATGGGAATCTCTGAGAGTGCGGCCACATCCTGAACTGGACCATGGAGAAAAAGAACATAAAAATCAATCCTTTTAATTAACTGGCCTGCAACAACATTACTTAAGGAAGGACCTCCCTCTCCACCTTCAGCTGATGGTCACAGGAGCTCAGGGGTGTGCCCACGCTACACTCTATCCCAATGTGCAGTAAGGAACCAAAGTGATAAGGGAGGATGAATATTGGGACTCCAGCTATGAACACGTCCCTAGAAAGGGAAACGCATGTCTAGATGCTTAATCCCATACCAGACCCATGACTGGATTCATGGCTTTCGAAATATACTTCAAGAAGTATACTAAAAAATGAACAAGAAAACAATTTAATCGAAATATACTGAAGCTGAGCATTTAAAAATCCTATTGTTATTCACCCAGTTCTATTTAACATTCTTCTGTGTCACTGACTACTTAAAAGGTCTTATATGAACAAATTACTCAGTTGAAACAAGAGCACTCAGCTCTTGCGCAATTAAGTTCTAAATAAGGCTACTAAATTTTAAATAATTTTTTATAAAGATTGCATGTATGCTGTATAAACTGCTTTGCTACAGAAAAGCTACCAGTAAGTTAGGTTTTCCTTTTGACATTCTGTGCCCCAAACTCCCAAGTTCATGGGGCCATGGCCAGAGTTTGCATAAAAGCAAACACACAAACAACGACTCCTTCCACAGACAACCCTTCCACACCATTCCACAAACATCAGCTATTTTTATAAATGGAAATAATTGTCACAACTTTCCAAAGTTTTAAAAATGTGTTTGTATTTTAAGGCTTTCTGTCAATTAGTTTATTTCTGAAAAAATACTGTCCCTTAGTGAAAGAATGTACATGTAGAATTTCACATGGGACCAAATTGGCATGAACACTGCAAAGCTCCTGAGAAAGTACATGTGCTGGGCATATTCTCCCTGACTTCACCACAGCAGCACCAGTAGGCACTTGAATAATATTTCCCTTATTGAAAATTAATGCAGTCTCTGAATTTTAAACATAAATGAAACATATTAGTTTTAGATTATTTTTGCGAGCCAATAGTCAGAATTTAATATGATGATGTGTATAGATTGCCTTGATTTTTTTTCCTCTTATCCAGTGCTTGCAGCCTATGTGCATTTAAACTAAAAACATTTGATACACACTAAATATAAATGATTTGCTTGGAGATCTTTCAGGCATGAAGAAAAAGCCTCTTAAAATAAATTTAAAATATTATATGCTTGATGGTGTATAACCAAAGGTTTAATCTCACCACTAAAGGGGCAGTTGCTGTGATTCTGCAATAACCCTGCAGACAATAATCAAGACAGCTCCTGTTGTTCTCTCAGTAAAATCATGGTAAACACAGCATGGATATATTGTAATTTGATATCTGTAAGATCAACTGTTATATCTCACAGTAACTCATAATATAAGATTTCATTCACCATTAAATGTACATTTTCCTCAGATGCCATACAAAACTATTATTTACTAACCATGTTTTCTATTAACCATAGATTGCCAACAGAGAAGAAAGTGCCCAGAGATACTTTTTTTATGTAACAAACTATTTATTTCTAAGGGTTGCCACATACTTTATGGGGCGGGGTGAGGGGTGGGGAGCCAAGAAACAGGGAAACATTACTCTCACCTTGTTTCAGCACATGGAGCAGGGGAAGCAGAATTTCTCTACTTGCTCCATAGTCAGAAAGAAACCAACAAGAACAATTAATTCTACCCTAGGAGTACCTGTTCACCAATCAGGCAAATTCAGCATTCATCCCACAAGGTACTTGAGGAAAAATGATGAATGAGCTGGGTATTTAAAACAGAAGTATAAACACTAAGGCTCAGTGTATTTGTGATTTAAAGTAATGATATCAGTGGAAAATACATACATTTTAAAGACAGTACAGTGCAACAATTCTGAGCTATTGCTAACTATAACCTCCAAAACATGCTAGTAGGATTTGGCTATCATTAGAATAAATAGCAATACTTTACTAAAACGTTAACTAGGTTACTCATAAGTATTTTATACATGTAATCAAACATTCTTCACTTACCAGTGCTGGATTTTTTCTTGGCAGCTAGTGACCACCTGTCATTAAAACAGATAACTACTCATGAAAAAACAAGGCTGAGAACACAGCTGCAATGTCAATGCATCAAAAACTATAACAGTAGGTTTACAGATTTGGTGGTATCTCTATATACATTTTTATTTGTCAGTGCAAAAGCATGTGAATGGTCGTTCTTAAGCAACACACTTTATCACACAGTAATGCAGACTGATAACCACAGAAAAAATTACAGCTTTTCAATTCATATTTTGGTACAATACCTGCTCCATAACTATTAGGTGACACACAATCTAAGATAAGTCGTAGTTTGTGCAATCTGCAGATCTATTTTCAGAGTTACATGTTTGCAGAATAAGAAAGAAACATAAATTATAACAAGACATCAATGTAACTTCCATACTCAGTCATTAACCAAAAACAAATGAATGCCACAGCACTAAAAACATTTTTTTCCTTTATCAGTATATCAACAAATGTTTCCACTGGCCATTATAATTTGAAAAAGCACAAATTAATTTTGTGGTGTTTAAATACAAAGATATTTGACACCATTATGGACTGCTGGCTTCCCTTCTTTCTAGGTGTCAAAAAAAGGAAGTTTTAATCTGAATATTTCACTTAGTTCTTTATGTCACAGGCCTTTTCAAGAGATCCAAAACAATTTATAAACTAAAGTGCATTGTTAAAATGAAATATTTTTTTCTTTTTTAATTGTATTTTTTTAGACTATGTAGCTATAGCAAGCAGACAGGATGCTGAAACCTGTGACCTTCTCTGCCATAATTACGTGGAGATTTTGTCTTTCAAAACATATTCTGATCTCTGAATAATGGTTACCAAAAATATAACACAAACAATTTCATTCAATTATATGAAATGCAATGAAGCCATGAGGCAATTAAATATGTCTAGACATCTTCTTAATATAAGCATTTTCTAGATTTTTTTTTTTTTACAAATTTCATTTTTTTTTTCCTATAGCCAAAATAGCGCTAACATTCGAAAGCAATTAATGAGAAAATTTGCAGAGAAAACAATAACATACATTCAAGTACCACTGAAATCACTGGAGCAGATAATTCTTTTTTTTTTTTTCCAAACAACAGAATGAAAGACAATTTTTTTTTTTTCAGTTAGCATATGCGCAGCTATCGTAGAACAAATCTCAGACCCTGCACTTTCTACTCATATAGGAGTAAAAAAAAAAATGGTACTATTTTGTGAGCTAGTAATTCTTTAAAGAGAATAAAGTACTTAAATGAAAGGGATCAGCTCTATATTTGTGGTTATGCTATTTCATAATCCACCAGGAAATTCAGCCAGGTAACTCATCCCACGTAAACCAAGTTTAAATTTATCATTTGCTTTCAACTCCTAGAAATCAAATGCCTAGCAAACATTTTCCTTAATGTGCAAGCTAATGATTTTTAAGGCTAAGAGTAAACATACAGACTTCTGTAGGACATCAAGTCAGAAATCTAATTCATACTCGAGTCCATTTTAAGAGTAAAGTTTCTGTAAAATGTGCAAGTCATACAGCGCAGCAATGTTTGGTAATAACACACAATGAAGCCCACCACTAACAAGTACAGGAGTCAACACCCTTCATTCTTTCAGATTTGGTAGTCATTGTGAGGTACACAACATAATTAAGCATGGAAAAATGTTTATGAAATCCTTTAAGAAAGTTCCAGTTTAATTGCCCTGTTACAGATGAAGATGGAAAAGACAGGAAGCTTTCCATTACCAACACATGACTTTCCATGCATGAAGTGAGCTAAAAGCACAAAAAGAAAAGCCCTGCAAACCATAAGAGCAGCATGTTCATTAACCTCTACATGATAATCCTTTCATAGCTGCATATTAACTAGTTACATATTCATAATCATTTACATTATTTAGAGGACCTTCTATGAAAATTTCTAGGCTATATCCATTAGCCACAATGTTAAAGGTTACAAAAGATAGTCTACTTAATGTTTCCAGGAAGCTTTTTTAATTAGTAAATATGTAAATTGGGCACATATGCTTTTTATGTTTTTAAAAAACAGCCCATCGGTAAAACAGCATAGGGGCATATGCTGTTTCCATCGCCCTTTATCCCCATTAAAAAAAAAGAAAAATCAATAACACCAATCAATTTTAATTTAATTCTTCTTCTTTGATATAATCTCTCTTGAAGGGATACTAAAGGGTGGAACCAACAACAAACCTTTTCGTTTCAGTGGCCAGCATAAAATGAGACCTTTTCTATAAGTGCTAAAATATACCACCTTAAAAATGTTTCAGGCTGCACTTCTGGAACTGAACTCTATTAAAAAAAATAGAGAGAATAAATATTGAAAAACAGATGGAGATCAATTATGCATATGTCCTTTATTAGGTCAGTCCCACTGTTTGGGTAACAACTGGTCTTATCACAGCAAAGAAACAAATAGATAAACACATAAACAAATCTTTGATTCTTTGCCTTTAATCAAACACAGGAAAATCATTAGTCTATCTTCCACACATAATTTCTATCTAGAGTTGCAATTAAAGAACGAAAATTCCTTTCAGGGTAAATAAAATAAATGACCTGTTTGTTTGTTCATTTGAGTTCAATTTGTCTGGACATCTAGTGTCACCAACTATGCATTATTTTTAAGACACCGTAGTGGAAGTGGTATCAATAAACTCTGAACTCTCCCCTTTTAGGCATAAAAATGTATGAGTTTGTGAATGCATGTGGTTATCAATGGCTTATCTACATACTAATATATTTATTAAACTACTCTTGCAGCAAACTTAATATTACCTAATCATGAGTCTGGTTATTAAAGCAGGATCCACATTCCATAGTCTTAAAAGAAAGCAAATGGGCAAATACCTCGTTTCCTTCCTCTCCTCCAAAAGCAACTTGTTAAAATTTAGTGCTCCTCCAGCCCCTGAGCGGATTAGAGCCATTCCTGGGAGCTCCACCAGCAGCCCCCCCAGTCAGCCCTGGGAGAGCACACCTCTGTGCACCTGCAACCCAGACCGTAATTCCTTCTAGATTAAAAACCAAAACGTTGGTTCTGTTCTCATTACTACTAGGTTGAGACATTGAAAGGAAAGTGTACACTGCTGCTTTTAGGGAATCTCGTTTCTAGGTCACACAAGCAGAGTCACAGCAGAGCAGGAGGATCAGCTTTAGACCTACAATCATTTCCCAGGTGTCCTCCAGTTCCAGTGCTAACCTGAACACAGGGCAGCTCGCAGGCTAGTCACTCCAAATCACCCTCAAACAACTCACATCATAGAGCAAAAGACTTCATTAGCTATCTGAAGGCAGAAAACTCCTTTTGTCTGCAACACTTTCCCTCTTTCCAATCTGTCTATTTATATTCCACCTTCTCTGGGATCTTCCATCCGAAGAGCTCAAAAACCTTTCCGTGAATTAAAGTTTACAGAACTCTGGAAAAGGACTGCACTGATTTTGCAGGCTGAGTAACTTAACCACCAACAACAGTCAGGAACAGGGCTAGAAACAGAAGCCAGATCTCGTAATTCAGCAGCCAGGCACTACAGTCACTTGCAATGTGTCCTCGGGAGTGAAGGATGATGTAGCATGAAGCCGATTCCTACCTGTACGTGCCCACAGGTCTCTAACCTGTTCCACATAACCCCACCTTTCCCCAGAAGGCCCTCAACCCTCACGTACAAGGGCACCTCTTTCTTCCACCTCATTCTTCCTTACCTGTTGCTTCTGCACAAGCTCCCATTACTAACAGCTCTGTGGTGCTTCTGATTATCAAGTTGGTACACAAACGGTTCTGCTCTCTCCAGTTTGAGACTGTTTTATTTTATTTAGGTAGTTCTTCAAGGTGGACTGCATGCACGCAAATGGCACTGCCTACAAAGGTGATGGTTTTAGCACACTGAGGGTAATTTTTCTCTCTCATCTGTTTCTGAACAGCAGTAAGGCAAGCTGCCAAGTCAGAATTTTATTTCTGTCTCAGCTCATAAAAAATTATAAGCAACAGAGCTGGTCCTGATATACCTTGTAGACAGTTTTGGGTACCAATGCTAGACCTGCTGTATCTGAGTCACAGTTATGTTCAAGTCTAAAGAACGAGAAACTGTTATTTTTAAGATGAAAGTTAATTTCAATGAAAATTATGAAAACAGAAATGTCCCATCAGATTAGGAAGAGTTCCTAAGTGAATGAGAGGCTACCACACTTGTGGGTATGAACATGGAAATATGTAGCATGGCACAAAAGCCAAGTTTCCGTTTAAACAAATTGCAAGTTAGGCATCTAAGAGGCCAAGTGAATACGTGCTGTTTCTACATGCACAGCTGAGAGTTTTGCTTCAAAACTGTGGCTCACAATCTGGCTAGTCTTCTGAAATTAGAAGCTAGGGACACAGATCTAATCCCAGCTCTGATTCTGTTTCTTCTATATGGCCTTGAGCAAATCACAACCTCTCAGTCTACATTTCTTCATCTGCAAAATGGGGATAATAGTATTAACCTACCCACCTCAGAGTGTTTAATGATGATTAATTAATGTGAGAAAAGCACTCTAAAGATGTAAGAGCACTATATAAGTGATAAAGCATTATTTACCACTTGAAAAGTAATCTGAATAAAATCAGATATGCAAGTAATTTGTTTACATGTAGCAATAATATAATTTGTGACTATTTAATCTTGAATTAGTCTCACTTTAAACATCCCTTTCAATCACATTTCCAGTTACTTAGGGAAAATGACAGTACAGAATACTTTTTGTGGAAGCAGAGCAAGTAATGAGGTGGTAATTAAAGTAAGGGTCTAATAAAGTCTAAAACCAATGATTTGCCTTGGGGACTGTGTAAACATCTCAGTCTCGACCTTGGTTCTGTTGTTCAGAACCTTCCACTAACTACAGTGGAAGTATGTACTGGTTTTCTGAAATGCAGATCCACATTTTCAAGGCTCATGATAAATCCAAGATAATTTCCACTACTGACCTAATTCAGATGACTCCAACTCCACACAATTTTAACTGCTT